CTTATACATAGTAGGTACTTGATGCATGCTTGTTGATTAAAATTTCCATTCAATGCAGTGACCGACGATGACTCCAGCAAACCAGTGATGAAGAATGAGAGAAGAAAAGTGATGGATCCAATATGTAGAGTGATGCTTACATTTTTAAACATGAGCAATGTGGGAATTTGTATTTCTCTTTTCACATTTATTACAAAAAAATTGTTTTTCTCTTTTTCTTTCTCTTTGGGGAGGAGAAGGGAGAGAGAAAATAAATGATTGTTGGAAATACTTGCTGACTCTATTGCATTTCTTTTTTCATTCAGTTTTTTCAGTTAATAAACATTTATTTTTCCCTCTCCAACTCCCATCTGCCACCATTAGAAAAGAAAAAGAAAAAAAAACTTTTATAAAACATATGCAGATTCAAGAAAAGCAAATTGCTGCATTGGGCATGTCTACAATTATATGTCTCATTCTGAATATTTAGCCTATATATATCTCTTAGGAGATATAGTTAGCGAGTTTCATCTTCAGTTTGCTGGAATTATGGTTCATCATTGCACTGATCAAAGTTCTTAAATCTTTCAAAGTTATTTTTCTTTATATTATTGTTGTATAAATTGTTCTGATTTTGCTCACTTCACTGTGCATCAGCTCATATAAGTTTTCATGGTTTTATGAAGCCACTCATTTCTTTATGGCTTAATATTATTCTATTACATTCATATACCGTAATTTTTTAGCCATTTTCAGTAGGCAGGAGCTCCCTTAGATTTTAGGTCTTTGCCATCACAAAAAAGCTCCAATAAATATTTTTATACATATGGGTCCTTTTTCTCTTTCTGTGATCTCTTTGGGGTATAGACCTAACAGTGGCATAGCTAGGCATTCATGTGCTTATTTCCCAAATGCTTCTAAGAATTCTTGGACTAATTCACAGCTCCACCAATAGTTTATTAGCGTGTCCATTTACCTGAAACCCCTCCAGCATTTGTCATTTTCCTCATTTGTCATCTTTGCCAATCTGATGGATATGAGGTGAAGCCTTAGTGTTGCTTTAATTTCGATTTCTATAAATATTAGTGCCTTAGCATTTTTTCAGATGGATGTTGATAGCTTGGATTTCTTCCTTTGAAAACATCCTATTCATATGCTTTAACCAGTCATCTATTTGGAAATGGCTCTTACTCTCATAGACTTGAATCATTTCCTTAGGTGTCTTAGATATGAGGCCTGCATAAGAGAAAGTGCAAATAATTTTTTTCCAAGTTACCTGTTGATCTTCTAATTTTAACTGTATTGAGTTTTTTGGTGCAACACTTTTTAATTTTTTATAATCAAAATTGCCCATTTTATCTATGTCCTCTCTATCTCTTGTTTGATTATGAGCTCTTCTCCTATCCATATATCTTCAAGGTAGTTTCTTCTGTGCTTCTCTAATTTGCTTATGATGTTACCTTTTATGCCTAAATTATGTATACATTTAGAGCTTCTCTTAATATACTATGTGAGGTATTAATCAATACGTACTTTCTTTCAAACAGCTTTTCTCTGCAGTTTGTTTTCATCAGTCCTTACTCTAGTACCTGGGATCTTTAGATTTATTGAACACTATGCTACTGTGTTCATTTTCTTTTATATGTTATGAATCTAATCTATTTCATTGATTTTCCTGCCTATTTTTTAACCAGTACCAGATCATTTGGATGATTATTTGGTATAGTTTGATATCTAGAACTGCTAGGTCCCCTTCTTTCCTACTTTTGTTTGTCGTTTCCCTTTAAATTCTTGACCTTTTATTCCTCCAGATGAATTTCACTATTTTTTCCTATTCTAGCTCTATAAAATAATCCTGTGGTAGTTGACTGACTTGTCACTGAGTAAGTAAATTATTTTAAGCATTTTTGTCATGTTTATTGTATTGATATGACAAACAAATGAGTAATTAACATTTCTCCAATTACTTAGGTTTGTATTTCATTAAAGAATACTTTGTAGTTGCATTCATGCATTTCCTGGGTATGACGTGGTTCATAAAGTCATACTTTGTGTATTCTATAGCTATTTGGAATGTAACTTCTCTTTCTCTTCTTTCCTTTTGGGTTTTGTTGGTAGTGAATGGGAAAGCTAATGGTTTAGGGGGATTTGTTTTATATCCTGCAATTTTCCTTAATTTGTTGTTTCAATTAATTTTTAGTTGATGCTTTAGGGTTCTCTAAGTAAACTATCATCTGCAAAAAGTGATAGTTCTGTTTCCTCTTTGCCTGCCTTTATTCCCTCCATTTCTTTTTCTTGTCTTGTTGCTGCATTTCCAGTACCATGTTAAATAATAATGGTGATCTTTGTATAAAGGCCTCTTAATTTTTCTTTGTTAGACATAGTGTTCACTCTTTATTTTAGACAGATAATACTTACTATATTAAGGAGCAATCCTTTTATTCCTATGCTTTCTAATTTTTTTTTTAACAGAAACAAGTTATGGGTTTTGTCAGAAGTCTTTTCAGTTATCTATTGATAGGTGGGATTTTTATTATTTTTGTTATTAATATTGTCTATTATGTTTACACTTTTTCTTATTTTGAACCAACCCTGTATTCCTGATATAAATCCAACCTGGTCATGTTGTATAAATGTTTTTAATATGTTATTATAATCTCTTTGCTAATATTTTATTTAAATTTTTCCATCAATGTTCATTAGGGATGTTGATCCAAAGTTTTCTTTCATGTCTTTGTCTCTCCCTTGCTTAGGTATTAAGGCCATATTTGTATCATTGAAAGAGTTTAAAAGGTTCTTTTCATATTTTTACAAGCAGTTTATGTGATACAGAAATTAATTGTTCTTTGAATATTTGATAGAATTCACTTGTAAATCTGTCTGGTCCTAGAGTTTTTTCCCTCTTTTTGGGAGTTTATGACTTAACTCAATTTATTTTTCTCATATTGGGTTATTTAAATAATCTATTTCTTCTGTTAATTTGGATATTTTATATTTTTGTAAATATTCATCCATTTCATCTAAGTTATCAGTTTTGTTGGTATATAATTGGGCATAATAGTTCCGGATAGTTTCCTTTGCTGCACCTTCAGTTGTTGTAAACTTTACTGATTACTTTTGTTCTTTTTAAAAATCAGATTATTTGTTTGTTTTTAAAGCTCCTGGATTTATTTAGCAGTTCAATGTGTTTTTTTTTCCTTCAATTTTGTAATTCTCTGGTTTTCAGAATTTCTAATTTGGTCTTTAGAGGAACATTATCCCCAATTCATTGATTTCTACTTTCACTGTTTTGTTAATAAAGCATTTAGAGAAATAAAATTTAAAAGTAAATCCTTAACATCTTACCTATTTATCTTCTTGTTAGATTTGTTTAGGTCTGAAAAGGATGCATTGAGGTTTCCTGCTGTTATATTTTTACTGTCCATTTTTACCTACATTTCAATTAAATATTCCCTAAGTATTTAGATACTGTGCTGTTCAGTCAATGCATGCACACACACAGTATTGATATTGATACATCATCTATGGTACCTTGAAGCGTAATGTTAAGCATAATGTATTTTCCCTGTTTACTTCTATTTATCATGCCCCTATTTCTGTAACATTGTATAAAATCACGATTGCTTCCTGCTTTTTTTAGTTCATCTGAAGCATAATAAATAGTTCTGATCTAACCCCCCCATTTTTTAGTCTATATGAGTATTTATGTTTCAAGTGAATTACTTATAAACAACATATTGTTGAATTCTATTTTCTAATCCATACTCCTATTCTCTTTGATTTTATGGGTGAGTTCATCCCATTCTGTAGTAGCATACTATGAAAACAATCCCTGATAATATAGTCTTTATTGGATTTCCTTCAGACATTCTGTAATTGAGGGTTTCTTTTTCCTAAATGACATTAAACTTCCTTTCAGTTAGCCTGTATTATTGAACCTTTTGCTACATTTTTTAAAAAGTGATTACAAAAATGAAGTAAATGCTAGAAATGATGAATACTTCAAGTATTTGACAAGTGTAAAGACTTAAGATTTTGGGATAAAAATTCATCATTTGGTAAAAAATTATTGGGAAAATTGAAAAGCGGCGTGGCAGAAACCGGGCATAGACCAATATCTTACACCATTTACCAAGATAAGGTCAAAGTAGATACATGACCTAGATATAAAGAGAGATAGTACATGAAAATTAGAAGAACATGGAACATATTACTTATTAGACTTATGGATTGTGAGTTTATGAATAAACAAGAGATAGAGAGCAAAGTTAGGTATAAAATGTATAATTTCAGTTACATTAAATTAAAAGGGTTTCATATAAATAAAACCAATTCCCCAGATCAGAAGGAAAGCAGAAAATTGGGGGGAAATTTTATAGAAAGTTTCTAAGATAAAAGTCTCATATCTCAAATATATAAAGAACTTTGTCAAATCTGTAAGGATATAAGTCATTCCCAGATTGATAAATAGTCAAAGGATATGAACAGGCAATTTTCCAGTGAAGAAATCAAAACAATTTGTAGTCATATGAAAAAATGCTCTAAATCATTATTGATTAGAGAAATGCAAATTAAAATAAACTTGAGATATTTTACACCTACTAAATTGGCTAAAATAATTAAAAGGGGAAGTGACAAATGTTGGAGGAGATGTGGAAAAATTGGAACACTAATTCATTGTTGGTGGAATTGTGAACTGATCCAACCATTTTGGAGAGAAATCTGGAATTATGCCCAAAGAGTTATTAAACTGCCTATACCCTTTGACCCAGCAATACCTTTACTAGGTCTATTTCCAAAGATGACTAGGGAAAAAAGATAAGAACCTATATATTCTTCAATATAAATCTTAAATATTTTTAAATATAATTTCATTTTAGTAGATTCTTATATTCTTGGACAGTAGATTCTATTTTACTTTCTATGGCCCTGATTAATGATATTCTGAGAATTTTACTTTTGGAGGTAATTTAGAATAATAGATAAATTATTCTTATTCTCTGTAAAATACAATCTTTCAGGAGCAGAAGTAAAGAAAGTTGAAGCCATAAGTATTCCCTGCACACAAATTTCAATGTCATTTTTTGACCGATTATATTCTGAAGAAATTGTTCGAGAGAACGGACATATTGTTAAATGTTTGGATAATTTCTGTGACCCTTTTCTCATTTCTGATGAGTTAAGAAAAGTAAGTACAGTGGTAACAAACTTGTAGAGTATTTTTTTGAGTAATTTTCATACCTTGGGCACTGATCAATATATGCTACTTATTACGTACATGCTGTATTTGTGAAGTATGTAATATCTGCACAGTAAATTAATGTGTTATACCTACTTGAGCATTCCTGTTCTCACCTTAATTTTTATATAACTACTCTGTCTTCTTCCATTTCTGTCCTCTGTACCCAGTTGGTTCTTGATTAAAGTATTGTGTTTGTTCTATTAAGTAAAGCTGTTGTCCTCAGAGACTTCAAAAGACTATTTAGAAACAATTAGCCTTAGAACAGAAGCATAATCTTACCATTTTTCTAGGTTCAACAAAATTGTTTTTAATAAGGATTCTTCATCACAGATCACAAATGTAGAGCTAGATAGAACCTTAGTTAAGGCCATCTAGTCCAACCCAGTCTTTACACATGAGGAATAGAGACCCAAGAAGGTAAAGTCACTTGACCAAGGTTACACAGGCAGTGACCAGAACTGGAGTTTGAATCCAGCTCCTCTGACTCCAAATCCTGTTCCTTTCACTGTATTATGTTTCACAATTTAAATAAACCATTAAGTTGAGAAGGAAAATGTCAAATTCTACAATCTAATAATTTTCTGATCATTTAATGATATAATTTACCTATATGCACACACATATACCTGTAGATATGCTATTCAATCAACAAACAGTTATGAGCGAATACTGTTTGCCAAGATATTTTTGAAAAATGGGCAGGGCCCATTTGTAAATTGACAATTTGCCCAAATAGGGAGGACAGCTTGATCCAAGGCTTAAGAACAATAAAACTTATTAATACTTTTATTATGTTTATAATAATGCCTTATATTTGAGTAGTACTTTACAGTTCAAAAAGCATCTTCTTGTAGATAAACAGACATATGTGTGTGTGTATATGTGTGTGGATAGATAGATAGATAGATAGATAGATAGATAGATAGATAGATAGATAGATAGATGTGATATAGCAGTTGATTTTTTGCAAAAATTATCTAGAGTTAGATGGCTGCATCATGATATTCTTATTTTACAGAAGGGGAAAATTAGGCCAAAATTATATAACCCGTAAGTGACAGGGCCAAGATTTGAACCAGAGTTTTAAAATAACAAGTTAATGAAAAATAATATATCTAGTGATGTTTGAAATAAAAATAACAGAAGAAACACCCTCATTGAGTTAAAATTGATACTGTTCTATTATTTATAACTTTACTGATAAAGTATTTTTAAAACATCAAACTCTGAATCAAGATTTTCTGTTTTAGGGCAGGTCCTAACTACAAATAAATCAGTTTCTGATATTCAACTTAATAACTATTTAAAAGCATCTGTACTAGATCTACAATCAGATGACCTACTTTCAAATTCTGACTCGGTTACTTACTATATATGATCATATACAAGTCACCTAGCCTCTCTAGGCCTCAGTTTCTTACATCAGTAAAACCAGGGGGTTGGAACAGATGATCTCTCAAGGTCTATACTCTCACTTATCCCAACTTAACTAGTTAGTTGTACCACCATACATTCGGAAAACATTTTTAAAAGTGCTGTCACTTCAATTCTCTCTGTATATACATATATATATTACATCTATACATGCACACACAAACATATGTATTATATACACATATATACTTGTGCATGTATACATACTGACATATAATGCCTGGGGTTTCCTGTTTCTTCTATCTTTATAATGTAGGGACAATGATGAGGACTACACCTATGGTGTCACTGGTTTAGAGAACTCCCAGATAAAGAAACTGCCTCTGCCAATAGAAGTCAAGACCTCTTAGAAATTTGGCTAGACTGCTGAGAATGAAGTTATTTGCCCCAGATCACACAGCCACTATGTGTCACAGGCAGGAGTTTAATTCAGGTCTGACTTTAAGGTCAGCACTCTTATCCACTATATCCACTGCCTCTCTCTCACATATATGTGAAAAACACATATACAATAATATGTGTGCATATAATGTGTGTGGAGAAAAGAATAAAATATGAAAATACATTTTAATATGGAAAAACAATAGCAGAATTTTATTGTATTTAACTGTTAAGTCAAAGGTGTTTTTAAATTACATGTTATATACAGACGCAAACACACATGTATAACACAACCAAGTTGATAAGTCCACCAGTGATCAGCACATACATTTTACATGTAAATATGGTGTGGTGGAATAGGAAGGGACCTCAGAGGTCATCTAGTCTAACATTTTCCTTTTATAGATGAAGAGACTAAGGCCCAGACATGTTACAAGAGGGATAAGCTGATAGGAGCAAAGTGAAATAAAAATCAGAGCAGCTGAGTGGTACAGTGAATAGAGCCCTGGGCTTGGGATCAGGAAGATTTGAGTTCAAATTTGACCTCAGATACTTACTAGCTATGTGATCCTGGGCAGGTCACTTAACCCTGTTTGCCTCAGTTTCCTCATTTGTAAAATAAGATGGAGAAGGAAATGGCAAATCACTCCAGTATCTTTGCCAAGAAAACCCCAAATGAGGTCACAAAGAGTCAGACACGACTGAAAAGACTGAACAACAACAAAGCTAAACACCAAGAATAAATGAAAAGCATTTTTAAATGATAAGGCCACTGCCCCAGGGTAGGAGCAAAGAGGAATTATGTGTGGCAAGTGCTAGAGAAGTCCTTCAATGAAATGTCTAATGATAAGGTAGAAGCAAAACAGCTAAGATACTCATCTAGATTGCTCTGGCTTTTGGTCTTCATGCAGGAATTTCAAAAAATTCACTAATAACCCTGTACTACCTATAAAAAAAATCTTTACTAAAAAAAAAGATTTGAACACAAACTCATTTCCAAAAACATCAGATATTCTTAAGCTAATGTTACCTTGAGATTAAACCATATTTTCTCATCTTATATAAGGTTTTACTAATAGACGACTCTGAAAAATATGAGGTATTCAGTCCATTGGATCGTCAAGAGTTCCTTTTTTGTATTTTTAAACATCTTTGCCTCGGTGGACTTCTTTGTCAGTATGAAGATATACTTGACCCATATCTGGAAACCACAAAGACTATCTATAAGGATCTTGTAAGGTAATATTTCTAGACCATAATGTGTTAATGTCTGATCAGTTGACTGAATATAAGCAAAATTATTTGTTTGACCACTCTGTGTGCTGTCCATTTATGGTCACTTAAAAATAGCCTTCCTGTGACCCACTCTCATTCCTTCTACCCCGTGACTACACGCCACATAAGACTGAGGTATTACTGGCCTTGCCTCAATCCTATATACACTCATCAGCTGTCTTTCTCTTCTCTCTAACCAGCATTTCTCCATATCCAATGCTCCAATTGTATCCAAATCTAAAGTAATTACCTATACGCCGTCCGTCGTCTCCCCCCCCCCACTACACATAGACTAAAATTCTTTTGGGGAATCTTTGAATTTTTTTAATAAAAAATTATATTTTTTATACTTAGCAGGAATGTTATACATGTAGTTTTTTGTAATTAATTTCATAAGTGTTACATTTTCTCTTCAGCGTGGTCTATAGGATTCAGTGGAATGTATAAACTCTATGTCTGCAAATCCTCTATTTGTAGGACATTTGTAGTTGCATTTTTTTATCTTATTTCCTTGGTCTCTCCTATATAAGGTCTCCCCTTTCCCCCACATCCCCACTTCTTGCAAACTTCTTTACTTCTTATAAAATTCTTTAGTGACAAGAACAGAAAAATTAGCTTCTCAACTGGCTCATAATAGCAGCTCTGCTGTTACTTACCCCCCTCATGTCCCATTTCCTTCAAGGTTTATTTTGTGTTTTCTCTACCGAAGATATATATGTATTCCTTAGAATCTCAAATTAACTTTCAGTGGGTTAATTAAGTTTTAGATTCTCCAAAGATGTTCTATTAACACCAAAGGAGAATGGTAGTACTAGACCTGGAGACAAGAAAAGCTGAGTTTAAATCTGACCTCAGACACCTTACTAGTTTTGTAACTCTGGGCAAGTTACTTAACCTCTGTTTGCCTTGGGTTCCTCAACCATAAAAAAGAATAATAATAGACCTACCTCCCAGGGTTGTTTTCCTTGAGGATCAAATGAGATAATACTTGTAATACTTAGCACAGTGCCTGGCAGCTAGTAGGTGCTTAATAAATGCTTGTTTCCTTCCTTAGTTTTTTAAAGTTTACTTTACATTCAGTAAAATTAATAATTTGTAAATCACTGACAGTTTTCACAAAGAAAAGCATTATTCTTTATTTTCATACTAAAGTTTATTTTTTCCCTCTTAAACTGTGTTAGAACAAAGGGTGAAGTAAAGACCAAACTAGAAAAAAGAATCTAGGAATAAAGAAATAATTGCTCATGATTGTAGCAGTTCCAACCCCATTTGTTTAAACTATATTTGGTATTGATACATTTATAAATCTGTGACTTGATTGGTGCAGGTTTGCTGTTCAACTATAGCTAGGTGGTACAGTAGGTAGAGCAGTAGGCCTAAAGTCAGGAAGATCTGAGATCAAATTTGATCTCACCTCCCTGCTGTGTGACTGTAGGCAAGTTACTTAAATTGCCTCAATTTCCTCAACTGTAAAATGGGGATAATAATAGCACCTACATCCCAGGGTTTTTTGAAGATCAACTGAGATAATATTTGTAAAGCACTTAGCACAGTACCTGGCACATAGTAGGTGCTTTTAAAATGGCTGTTTCTTTACTTATCTCCAGCTATGCAGATGGTCCCTTAATACCTTCTCATTCTGTCCGTTCATGTTTTCCAGTAAACCCTCATGAAAAATCTACCCAGTGCCTTGGATGTCTTACCTTTGCTCTTGTAATATTTAGGGGATACCAATGTACTCCATGGGAAGCTATATCTTGTCTCTCAATTCATGACTGACACAAAACAGTAATACCATGTGCATTTTTAGTAGATAGTATACTAATACAATACATTTCCCAATTGATCATTCATTGAGTTATTTATCATTTGAATTCTTCCAGTCACTCAATAAACATTATTAAGTGCCTGCTATTTTCCAGGGATTGTGTTAAATTCTGGGGACATAAAGAAAGATAAAAGATGGTCTCTATTCTCAAGGAGCCCATGGTCTAATGAAGGAGACAATATGGAAACAGCTATGTACAAACTATATGTAAGACAAACTGGAAATAATTAACAGAGGAAAGGCACTAGAATTAAGGGGGATCAGGAAAGGGCTTCTGTAGAAGATGGGATTTTATTTGGGACTTGAAGGGAGTCACGGAAGCCAAGAGGGTAGAGATGGGGAGGGAGAGCATTCCATGAATGGGGACCAGCCAGAGAAAATGCCAGGCATCAGGAGATGGAGTGTCTCATTCCAGGAAAAATAAGGAGGCCACTGACACTGAGGTATAGGCTTTAAGAAGTCTGGAAAAGTGGGGGAGGGAGGGAGGGAGGCTAGACTATGAAAGATGTTGAATATCAAACAGAGAGTTTTATATTTTTTCTTGGAGGTCATAGGGAACCACTAGAGTTTATTGAGTAAGGGAGGTGACATGGTCAGACCTTCACTTTTGGACACTTCACCTTGACAGATGAGGTGAGGATGGACTAGAGTGGAATCATAATGGTCCGTGACTTATAGCCACATAGAATTATTGGGAAATGTTTAAAAAGGGACTTTTGCAGCAATGAACAGTTTGAGGTTATTAAAAGCACTGGGTGATTTTCCAAATGTGATCCAAGTTTATCTTCTTGGAATTAATTTTTTGACATAGTAACTCACAGAGCAGACAAAAATATAAAATGTGTAGGGGCAGCTAGGTGGTGCAGTAGATAGAGCACTGGCCCTAGAGTCAGGAGGACCTGGGTTCAAATCCAACCTCAGACACTTGATATTTACTAGCTGTGTGACCCTGGGCAAGTCACTTAACTCTATTAACTAGCAAAAACAAACAAAACAAAAACAAGGAAAAAAACCACAAAATGTTTATCAGTCCTATACCCTTTTACTCATGTATTGACAATGGTAGAATGAGTTCGTTTCCCTTTAAACCATACAATTTCACAGACATATTTATGCATACTGATGTACCTGCATATATTCATCCCATACTGATAGATTTCTTTTCAAATTCTCCCCTTATGAGAGATCAAATGCATTTTGATGTTGTTTAAAAAAATTGTAGTGGAAGTCAGGAGGCCTACATTCTAATCACAGCTCTGCCACTAGCTAGCAGTGTAACCTTGAGTATGCAATTTCACTTCTCTGGATTTCAGTTTCTTTATCTGTAAATTGGACTAAATTATTTCTAATGTCCCTTCTAGTACTTGTAATATAACATTCTTTTCTGTTGTTTCCATATTTTTGAACCAACGATGGACTCCACCATATCTGAGACCTGTTCAGAAGCTATAGATTGACCACTTGATGTGAAATCCTGTTATGATTCCAGTTTGGGGAAAGGGAGGAACAGATATCTTGATTATAGACTTTCTATGCAGCTAGGTGGTGCAGTATAGAGTGTCAGGCCTGCAATCAAGAAGACTCATTTTCCTGAATTCAAATACAGCCTCAGACATTTAGTAGCTATGTGACCCTGGGCACATTACTTAATCCTGTTTGCCTCAGTGTCCTCATCTGTAAAAAGAGCTGAAGAAGGAAATGGCAAACCACTCCAATATCTTTGCCAAGAAAACCCCATATGGGATCACAGAGAATCAGACATGACTAAAAAATTACTTTGAAAAAAAAAACATACATGCTTTGGCAAATGATATGTAGCATATGTCATCATATAAAAGAAGGGCATCTTCTCACTTAGAGCATTTACTTTATAAATACATTGATTATTCATGATATTCCTATGACCAAGAGGAATGAAAGTATAATATTGTATCTAAATTTGTATTGTATTATATCTAAATTACCATTGACTAGAACTATGTAAATAAAAGATAAAAGCGCGTATAGATATATGTCTAAAATATGTTTTCCTTTGATTCTAGTGTTATAAAGGAACCTCAGACCAAAAATATATGTGTTACTTCTGTTGTCTTTAAGGTTACAGCATACGTAAGTCTTATTCTGCTACTCTTTATGTACATTCATTACTAAGTGGATTGAGGGAAAACTGGATAGACGAGTATTTAGGTACTTATTACTGATGGAATTGTAGGAGTACTACTAGGTGCTGGAAGAATGTTCATTCATGTATCTATTCATTGAACAAATAAAATCTTTATGAAATTTGCCTTTATTTCTACAAAATACCAAGTATGTGAGAAATACAGATGTGAATAAGGCATGGCCTAGATTGCCTCATTCACTCAATCATTTATGTTGAAGCCTGGTAAGAAATAGTTCCTTACTCTAAGGAGATTACCATTTACTATGGGGAGTGAGGCAAGTACACAGATAATTATAATACAAGACAGAATTTGTACCTCTCATATGAAGGTGAAGAAGGCTGAGTGACCCAAGTCTTATTTTACTTCTTTTTTCTTTCTAACAATTAAAGTCATCCAAAAATTGGAATGTGCTGTCAGGGAAATGAAGTAATTTCCCACTCATTGGATGTCTCAAGGCAAAACCTAGATAAACCCTTTGGGGGGGGAGGGTTATTGTAGAAGGTATTCTTGGTCAGGTATGGATTGGACCAGATGATATCTAACATCTCTTCCAACTCTAAGATTCTGTTCTCAGGGTTCATCATGTGAATGAACCAGGAATCCTTAGCAAGTCAGGTTTTAGTAAAATAGAAGGCATGGAAGGAACATTTGAGAAAAAAAAAACATTTGAAGATGTAGGGGGGTTGATTTAGAATAAAGGATATGGGTTGGTCACAAGGCACAACAGAATGGATAAGGAAAGGAATGAGCATGAGTAGAATAAGTTTTAATCAGTTTCAAGGAATAGAAGGAAATAGGGGTATTCAGCTTTGTGTCATTTTAGCAATAGGGGAGGAACATTTGCTCAGTGATCAGAAAATAGATAACAGAGAAGCATGAGGAATTAATTGATCCCTAAATTCTAATTGTAATGTTAGTATTTTTGAGTGTGCCTCTGTGCAATCCTCCCACCTCATGTGTTCTTTAGTCAGTGTTGATGATGGCTATAGGTCTTCTAGATAACACCATAGATAATAGAATCTAGGTTAAAAAAAAATATGCCAGTAGGTTAGAATGTTGGGATAAATCTAATGAGATAAAAATGAATAAAGATAAAAAGAGTAACTTGGGTTAAAAAAAACACCAGTTTCACAAGTATAAGTACAAGGAGATATCGAGGTCTGGAAAAAAAAAAACCATCAGGGAGTTATAGTGGACTACAAACTCAATATGTTCCAACAGTGCAGCAGCCAAGAAAGATAATTTGATCTTAGGCTTCATTAATATGTAACTTCCAGGGACAAGGAGGCCATAGAACACTTCTGGAGTATTATATTCAGTTTGAGGATGCCATATTTTATGAAGGACTTTGTAAAGTTGAGGAGTATCTAGGGGGAGGGCAACCAGAATACTAAAGAGGCCTGAGTAAATCCATGAGGGTCAGTTGAAGAAATTAGAAATTTTAGAGAAGAGTTAGGAGTGTTATGATAGTCTTCTTCAAGTATTTGAAGGGTTGGTTGTCCTGTGAAACAAAAACTCTACTTGTTCCGATTGGTCCCAAATGGCAGAACTAGGAATGACGGGTGGAAGTTTCAGACAAATTATGATTTGCTACTAAAAAGAAAAAAATCTCCCCACTAGATCTCTCCGAAAGTGACTGTCTTGGACAGCCATGGGTTCCCCCTCCCTAGAGATCTATAAGCAAAGGTTATGTGACTGCTTGTTGGATTTATTGTAAAGATGACTCTTGTTCAGATATGAATTAGATTAGATGGACCCTGAAATCATTGTGAGCTTACTGTGATTCAGGGAGACTAAGCTAATAATTAAGTGTGATAACACTGAAGCTACAGATGAATTATACACCTATTTGGGAACAGCTGCTTTACAAACTTTCTTTTTTCTTTCCCATTTTCCTCTTATCATTCCTGCTACCTGTTCCCAACAATATTCCTTACTTACCTCAAAGATTAGTGTATGACCAAGTTGTAGCCAATCACATAGTTTTTGCACCTAATCATAATTTTGAAAACATGAAGGAAATGAAAGAAAATACCACCATAATTTTAAAATTTCTAGAATGCTAGAAAGCTTAAAATCCTGATACTTTTAAGCATTGACTCTAATAACTTAAATTATTGCTGTGAGAAAAGCATTGTTTGTTATCAAATTGAGGAGATTCAAATCCCATGGCTTCCATTCTAACCTAAAAGTAACAAAAAAATTTTAAAAATTATAATCTTGGGAGTTTACCATTTTCCAAAAGAATATTTTTAAACTCTGATATCTAATTTAGAAGACAAGAATTTTATTTTTCAGGTACAAAACCTAGCACAATATGTTGTTAATAAATGTTAAATGATAACTGTTTCATTATTTGCCAAAGTTCCTTATTGAATATTTCCATGGGGCTTTAATAAAAATACTAAATTCAAGTATTTTAATAAAACTCAAATCCAGTATTATATGTAGTAATTTGGGGTTTGTTTGTGTTTTTTTTTAGGATGAAAATGGTATGTGCTACCCTTCAACAAAAAGTCATGAACAATCATTTGCTTACATGGTTGTGGATCCTTTAAAACGTCATGTTAATGTTTTGTACCATTGTTTTGGTGTAGGTGAACTATCTTTCTAATTGATATCCCAAGTATATGTGTGTGTGTATGTATGCATATATATATATATATATATATATATATATATATATATATATATATATATATATATATATATATATATACACATACATATGGCTATTCTGTTTTTATTTTTCATTTTATAATAATGTTTATGAGCACTTTGGTAGAACTCAACCTCTGACCAAAATTTAGTTTTTAATTCACATAAAATGTGTGTACTTTTAAAAAAAAGGAAAATAAAATTCCATTCCTCTATGTTGGATTATTATTATTCTGGATTACTAATAGAGGAATAGACTTCCATCCTTCATTTCCCATGTAATACTACTAATGAGTTCTAGAATTCTTCCTGAAAGTTACTTAGAATAAAAATCTAGTCCATAATTATATACACAATATAAATCTTGTTAAATCTTTATTTACTCCATATATTTTATGTTAAAGGTATTTTTGTGAAAGTAATAAAATTAAATATATTCACAGCAAACTCTTTGAATATATGATTTTGTTTTTATGTGTGGACTTAAATTTAGTTATATTTATTCATAACAAACAACTCGTAGTTATGCAGCAAGTTTACTTTCCTTACAATAGAACTGTCAAAATGAAGTATGCAAGTATCCCCACTATTACTCCCATTTTACCATTAAGGAAAAAGCAACTCAGAAAGGCAGTGACTTGCCCTGCTTCATACATCTGTCACCATAATGACAGATGCAAAATTTGGACATATTTTTCTCTTAACTCCAAGTCCAGCATTCTTTCCTCTAAATCACAATTTACAATTTTTGGTTTTAAGTAATATATGATCATTATTAATACTTCTGATTTTCTGAGAATCTTACATTTTCTTCATTATTCATTGAATTAAAATCAAAAGAAATGTACTTTGTGGTAAATCAAAAGAATGTCCTGTCATTTTGAGGAAGTCAAAGCTGCCTCATTGCTCAGCCTAGATCTTAGCTACCTTACTGCTTTTATTAAAGATTTGAAAAAAATAGACTATCTCATGCAATTCCCAATACCTGTGAGAAAGGAATGGCCTCCTAAGTAGGTGAACTCGTTGAATTTTAGACACCCCAGGTCCTAGGATGAATGGGTAGAGGACATGTGTGGAAAATCACATATAATGTCCTACGTTTTGCAATGTTTTAGTTAGTTTTGCTAAACTTTTTCCCCCCTCTCATTTATTTTTGTTATAAGGGATTGCTTGGGATGGTGGGGGAGAGCAGTGCATTAGAAAATGTGAATGATAGTAAATAAAAATATCAATAAAATCTACTAAAATTAGTTTATCACAGGCAAGCAGGTAAAGATAGTGAAAAGCAAACTGACTCCATGCTGTCCTCTAACTTGGCTCAGTACCTGACTCACTAGATTATTTTTCCACCTTCCCTCCAAACAGGTACTTTACCTGCCCCATCCCACCCTGCCTTTCCACTCCCTTTTATGTTGTCTTCCCCCATTAGATTATAAATTCCTTGAGGGGCAGAGACTATATTTTGTTTTGCTTTAATTTTTATTCTAAGTGCTTAGCACAATGTCTGGCATATAGTAAATAATAAATGCCTTAGCTAATCTCTAATCCAGTCTCGAAAAGCCCCACACAACAGCCCTTGTCTCATATTACTTTTCCCCAAGAGATCTGAATTCTACATGCTCTTTGGCTAACAGATGTGCTCCTTGCCTATCTTCCCAACTGTGAAACATTTGTAGTCTTTGGAAATTACATGGGGTATACTTAACCTCTATGAAAATAGTTATCAGAACTTCTATATTACAGAGTCACTGGTAGTAGTTATCCCAACTATCTAGTATAATGCATATGTAAGTGCTTAATATATCACATTCATATATAATTGTATGCAGTGAACACTGCAGAAAGCAAACATACTACATAGCACAAAATATATATAACAATGGCATATATCATGGTCTAGGAAAACAAATTTCATGTAATACAAAAAACGTATCACATAACGAGTTGAATACTATGACCAAATACTGAAATATACAACTTACACATAGATCAATAATACAGTGTAACATGGTGATACAGTGAATAGTACACTGGGCCTGGAGTGAGGAACATCTGAGTTCAGACCTGGCCTCAGACACTAGCTGCGTGACCCTGAGCAAGTCACTTAATCTTTTTTTGCTTCAGTTTTCTCATCTGTAAAATTGAGATAATAGCACCTACATCACAGGGTTGTCATGAGGATCACATGACATAATAATTGCAAAGCTCTTAGCACAGTGCCTAGCACAGAGTAAATATATATAAATGTTAGCTATTATTATTATTACTAACATATACAGCAATGACACATAACAGCGATAATAGTATATTGCATAGCAAACACATAGGTCATAGCACATAATAATGTAAAAAGTGGTTATATACAAAGGACACATTAAATGCCCTAAAACTCTAGGGACCCGCTGACTATCTGGCTGCTGGCTATAACTATTCACCCTTTTCTCTTGAAGTCAACAAGCATTTATTATGTACCTACTGTGTTCTAGACACTATGCTAAGCACTGGGGATACAAAGAAAGGTAAAAAAGAAAAAAACACCTCAGACCCTGTTATCAACCTACAAACAACTTGGTAACAAGCAGAATTATACACTGGGATCAATCAATCAATAAACAAGCACCTACTCTGTGCCAGGCAATATGCTAGAGCTGGATAAATTGAGAATAGTCTCAGAGGGAAGGCACTAAGATTAAGGAGGACTTCTAAGATTTCTTGTAAAAGGTGAAACTTTAGCTAAGAATTGAAGTCAGGAGATGGAGATGAGGGAAAGAGTTCCAGACGGGAGGGACAGCTAAGGAAAATTCTCAGAGTCAGGAGATGGGGTGTTGTGTAAAAGGAACAGCAAGGAAGCCAGTATCTCTGCATCATAGAGTACATGGAATGGAGTAGGGTGTAAGAATACAGGAAAGGTAGGAAGCGGCCAAGGTTATAAAGGACTTTAAAAGCCGAACAAAGGATTTTATAATAGGGAACCACTGGAGTTTATTGAATTGGGGGTGGGAGGTGACATGGTCAGAGCTGTGACTTAGCAAAATCAATTTGATAACTAAATGAAGGATAAAATGGAGTGGGGAGAGATGAGGCAGGCTGACCAACCAGCAGACTTATTGTAATAGTCTAGATAGATAGATAAAAGCCTATACCAGGGTGATGGCAGTGTCAGAGGAGAGATGGGGTATATACAAAAGATATTTCAAAGGGTAGAATAAAACTTGACAACTGATTGAATAGGGACAGGGACAATGAAAAAGAGTTGAGAGTTGAGGATTGTACGTAGGTCATGAGCCTGAGACTGGGAGCATAGTGGTACCCTGAACAATAATAGGAAGGGGGGAGGTTTGGTTGAAAAAATATTGAGTTCCATTTTGGACATGTTAAATTTAAGATGTCCACAGGAAATCCAGTTTGAGATGTCAAAAAGGCAGTTGGAGATGTGTCTGGGGCTCAGGAGAGATGTTAGAGGTGGATAAATTGACCTGAGAATTATCAGCATGAAGACGGTAATTGAATCCATGGGACTGATGAGATCACCAAGTGAAATATTTGGAAGGAGAAGAAAAGGGAGCCCAAGACAGAGCCCTGGAAGACACCCATGTTTAGTGGGTGTGAACTAGATGAAAATCCAGCAGAGGATACTGGTCAGACAGGTAGGAGGAGAGCCAAGTGACGGCAGTGTCACACAAACCTAAAGTGAAGAGAAAACCAAATTTCTAAGGCTACAGAGAGGTGAAGAAGAGTGAAGTTTGAGAAAAATCCATTTGATGTGACCAGAAATTATTTCTAACTTTGAGAGAGCTGTTTCAGTTGAATGATGACGTTGGAAGCCAAAGTTCAGGGAGTTAAGAAAGGAGTGAGAGGACAGGAAATGGATGTGTCTATTATAGATGGCCTCCTCAAGTTTATCCACAAAACAGAGGAGAGGTATAGGACTAGAAGGGATGAAAGGATCAAGTGAGAGTTTTTTAAAGATGGGAGATATGTGAGCATATTTGTAGACTTGGTCACTGACCGAATTGGCCTGGCATCTTTACAAGAAGGGTATGATATGGTGGAAAGAGTTTTGGCACTGGAGTCACGGGACTTAGGTTTGTATTCTATCACTGACAGTCATTATTTGTGTGACCTTGGACAAGTCATAAGCTCCCTTCAGTTTCCTCATCTGTGAAATGAGGGGGCTAGATTAGATGGTCTCTGAGGTCCCTTTCAACTCTAGGTCTATGATCCTGTGACTTCAGCTTGTGCATAATCTTAGCATCTTGGCCTCCATAGCTAGAGTATCAGGTTGGAAAGGGGCTGCCTCTGGGTGCAGTTTTCTTCCTGTTTGAACAGAGGTCCCCCATGGATAAATATAGGGTTGACTTGCCTAATTCTCTGAAGAATGCTAACACAAAGGGTCATTCTCATCTGAGTTATTAAATTCTGAGATATCAGGCTCAGGCCATCTCTCTGCAACTGGTAAGTGGGTTCGTCATCTTAGAGTCTTCTTGGCTTCTCGCATTGCTCCTTTCCACCTAACCAGAGAGCCCAAACAACTCTTCAAAAGTCAACAGATGATTATGGCCACTTGGTTACTCTCTGGGGCTAATTTTTAGATTATAAAGTTGCCCAATTTTTCACCATGGTATGGGATAGCTTTCAAAACCACCATTCCACTAATTTGTGTGTTTTCTGCACAGCAGAATTTCTTAGAACTCTATCACCTTCTTGAAAATCTTATTAAACTCTTAACAAAAGGATTTGTTCTGTGAAGCTTGGATTCAATCAAAAGGCTGCACTTGAGGACCTAGAGGGCCTCCGGTTTCCTATCCTTGCCTTAGGCCATAGCTAGTTAGTAGACTTTTTCAACAAATCTCTAAATCAAAAGACATACTGGTTGTAAGTGCCTATGTCATTTCCATTTTCTAACACCTCAATGCACAAGTCAATATAGGCAAATATGACTCTTGCCCAAGCAAGAGCAGGTATGGTAAATAAGTCTAGAGCATCATTGTTGTTAGCATTGTATATATTCACTAGAAAAGCTATATGTTGACTCAACTGGA